AATGTAGAATAGGAGAAATTACTTGTTTCTTTACAAGTGTTCTCGGCGATGTCGCCGACAACACTTGTAATCAGAGTGCCGGTCCGTCCTCCCCCCGCCACCCCTCCCTACCCTGCACTTACCTCTCTCCATGCTGCATCCTCCCGGCTCCGTCCTCGCCGCCTTCAGAATGGAGAGCTGTAAGCAGAGCGGCAGGGTTAAAAGTAACCCTGCCGCTCCGTGTAGACAGAGAGAGAGCTTTGCTCTTCCCCTCTCACCTGTCGCAGGAGTTCCAGCACAGTGCTGTGCTAGAACTCATGTATTGGAGGTGGCAGGTTCAATAAAGAGCACCTGTCACCTCCAAATGCTATCACACAGTAACTTGTTAGCTCCTGTGTGATAGCAATAAAGTTAGGTGAAAAAAACAATTGATAAAAAATAATTACATAAATAAAAGTAAAAAATAATAAGTAATAATAATTACATTAAAAAATAAAGTAAAAAATAGTAAGAAAAATATAAAAAAAAATTATAAATAAAGAATGATAAAAAGTTTTTTAAAAAAACATAAAAAAATTAAAACCAACCCTGCAGCCCCCGCATTCCCTCGGCGGGGATGGAGGGGCATTGCCGAACCCGGCCTTGGGGCGGTAGGGAGGGTAAATCCGGTCCTGTGCATGTGATTAGTATGCAGCCTCTGTCCTTCTCTATGAGAGTACGCGGCCGTACGCCCCCCTACGCTCACCCCAAGTGCAGGTCCGTACGGGTCCGGGTGTCCCGGCTCGGACACAGACAGTATCCATCCTGTCAGCGTACGGACGTGCAGGGCGGATGAGCGTAGGGTAGCGAACGGCCGCATACTCGCGAAGAGAAGGACAAAGGCTACATACTAATTACACGCAGCACCGGGAGCTGCCCGATACTTCCATGCATGCAGCACGCTGTACGTGCCGACTTTTTCTCGTGTGAATGAGGCTTTAGAGTGTGGCAGGAAACCCGAGTATCCAGTGAAAACCCATACAAGTACAAGGAGAACAGGCAAACTTCAAACAGATAGTGCCTTGGTTGGGATTCAAGTAGATGACCCGAATGGTAACCACTAAGCCACTTTGTTTCCCATTTGCGCATGACCTTAACATTTGATTGGTTGATACCGGACATCAGACTTGTTTTTCACTTGCTCCAGTTTACAAAAGTCAGCTGCTTGGGTTGGGGGTTTGGCAAAGTGTTATTTGCTGGGCATAGGACGCTTTGTGTGCCTCTTCCCATCTCCCATGTCATCTGGCACAGTGAGCTGGAGGCAGCCGGCCAGGAATAACTGTTCACTTGGGCTGACATCAGGGGCCAGCTGCACATCCTATAGGCTGTCTCAGGGAAATAAACAGGTTTTCTCACATCCCCCTCGAGAGCCCAGTGTCTCTCCTGTTAACCCTGCAGGTGACTGACACCAACAGTTGTAGACTCCTATTAAAAGACCCATCACTTGGTCGTAAAGTTAAAGCTGCAGATGTGGAGGGTAGAAAAGAACTGACACTGTTTTTAATTTTAAAATCCCCGCCCTATTGCATTTATCCCCACCCATTAATACTTCTTAATGTAAATGCTATGCATTTAGGGCGTCAAAGATATGAGTAAAACTGGCCCTGGCGTTCTTTTTAGAAACTGTTGGGCAGATTTAAAGCCCAATTGAACTTTCCGTTGAAATCAGCTACTTCAATTCCAGGTGCCCCAAAACAAGAGGTGCTCAAAAGTTAGAGCTGACTATCCCTGTCCCCTGCTAGAGAAGGACCCTTAGTCCCCGTGTGGAAGCAGTGGACTCTATGCAGAGGTCAGACACACCCCCTACTGTATCAGACCTGTAGCTCTGCAATGCGAAGAGTTGATTGAAGAGCTCTGACTCATCAGTGGCGTGTCAGTCATCTGCAAAGAGGCCACTGCTTCCAAACTGAGAGCAAGGGTCCCTTTCTACAGCTTCTGGCAGAGGACAGGCTTTTCTACTCTAATGAAAAGGAACTGTAAGAGTTTGAACACTGAACACTGCTCCTGAAGTGTACAGTTGGGTTTGTCCTCAAAGCCGGTATATGTATTTCTCCAAATGATTAAAAATAGGATAAAACCTGTGGCATACAACATCTACTGCGTAGCAGCATATCCATGGTGAAATGTCAGGTCTTCTTTGAAATCCACGGCTTTACATTTGGCAAGTCATAGGCATGATGCCAGAAAATTGGAGTATTTTGGAAGTGGCCTCCACATTATTATTATTATTATTATTATACAGGATTTATAAAGCGACAACAGTTTGTACAGCGCTTTACAATATAAGGAAGACATTACAATCACAATACAATTCAAGACAAGATGGTAAGTAGGGACCTGCCCCTTAGGGCTTACAATCTAAAAAGGAGGGGCAAGTGATATGTGAGGTGGTAACTGTGTGGGGATGAATTGTTTGAGAACGTGATGGTTCAGTGGTTAGGTTGAGGTGGGATAGGCTTCCCTGAAGAGATGAGTCTTTGGGGATCGCCTAAAGGCAGTCAGAATGGGAGATAGTCGAACAGGATGGGGTAATGAGTTCCATTGAATGGGAGAGACTCTAGTGAAGTCCTGGAGGCGAGCATGGGAGGAGTTGATGAGGGAGCTGGAAAGCAGAAGGTCCACATAGTCGTTTGCTTTTGTTAAAAGGCTTAAATCAGAACTTTAGGCAAAAATAACAAGACAAAAAAAAAAGATTAGCCCATTAAAAGATAAAATAACAAGACCAGCTTTTGCTGCAATATTCGCCTTCTGGTAGATGTCCTCAGTCTGGTAGCCAGCATAATTCAACCCACGTCCTCTGAGCCCATGCCATCTTTTATCCACCCCCAGCCTGTGATTGGACAGTGATCGGAGAAGCAGTAGAGTGATAAGCTCATCTCTCTGTCACTCTGCTGTGTCCGCCTATCAGCATTCTTCTTGTCAACTTATGAACTCATTGGCTACCTGTGCTGTTTCTTCCTGTCGTACTCCGGCCAAGCCATACAGGGATTGCAACAGACTGATACCAGGTCACATTCAAGTATCACACTGCTTGTATTTAAAAACTACATTTAAGAATACATTAATGATTACAGATCTGCATTCATGTGTGCCTTTTATCAGACTGGAGTTCAGCTTTTAACATCCCCCTGTACCGAGGTTTATCTGCTTTAACGGTTTCTTTGTTGCCGTTTGACTAAACTTATAATTTTATCTCCTACTGATGTTCTTTTGGCTGGTAAAAATAACGATAACGCCACAAAGTTGCCATCTGGGTGCGTGAATAATTGTATACATTATGTGTCGTGTTCTATGTACTATTGAGGGGGGCAGCTTAATAACTGTTCCCTAGCTGGTTCTTAAAGCAACTGGGGGCTCTGCCTATGTAGAGTTAGGAATGTTTTAGCTACCAGAGTTCCCAGCAATAACGTAAAGGTTCTGTGCTATCATTTTAGGGGAAAGTGCTGTACGTTTTCAGAATTATTTTGAAGCATTTTATGTGCCATTGCATATAAAGTTATTTTTCCCGTTCTTACAGAATTCTCAGCTTAAAGCAGCTCTGTCGCAGAATTAAACAGCTCTTGGGGCACATTACTGATTTGGGGAACTATAGAATGAATGTCGGAAAGCACTGCCACATGATTACTCTGCAGGCCTTCTGCACACCACTTAGTCCATGACTACCCACTGCCACAGCCTTTTTACGCCATTACACAAATATTTTCGAGTACCCCTAAATGTGTTGCCAAATACCCTGGGGTGTACTCGTACCCCCGGTTTGTAAATGCTGCTGTAGACAACTTTTTTTTCCTGGGATAACATGAGAAAGAGTTAGACCCGCTGTCAAATCTATGTCCACATTGGAGAGACTCAGCACTTCAGTTTGTCCTAATGACTACTGGCCCTGAAACAGAAAGTGAGGGGAGACCCAAAATGTTAGAGTTGTCCCCAGAACAAGAGTTGAGGGGAAATCTTTAATGAGGAAGACCAGTTCTTGACACGACTGTCTAAAGGCTGACCATTTACTATATGATCAGATTGTACAATCTCCTTTAGATCTACCATAGACTATGTAGTACCACTGCCTTCCTGCAAAATGGTTCAAAAAAAGGTTTGAGGAACACAGCAAAGAGTTTGAGGTGTTGATTGGGCCTCCAAATTTTACAGATCTCTACCCAATCGAGCATCTGGGAGATGTGCTGAAAAAATAAGTCCAATCCATGGAGGCCCCACCTCACAAGTTACAGGACATAAAGGATCTACAGTGTACCTTCAGAGGTCTAGTAAAGTCAATGCCTCGACAGCTCAGGGCTCTTTGGTGGCAAAAAGGGGGACCCACTCATTTTTAGGCTGGTGGCCATAATATTATGATGGATCAGTATATATAATCTGGGAATTAATTGATTAGCCTGCCATCTTACATTTTCTGCAGGATACCAATAGAAGCTTCACGTACATTTTCCTTATTAGAGGTTTAATGTAAAACATAAACACACCTTGAAGATAGTATATTCTGGTCCTGCTTATTTATTATGCTGTGTCTACAACAATAAAATATAATATACTTTAGATCTGAACTTATCTCTTCCATCCATTTCTATGTGTCAGCCCTAGTACAAAACCTGAGATTTTCATGAAAGGTCCGTTAGCCAGCTGAGTCTAGCTGTACGCATACTGCGCGTCCAATTAATTTGGCTTAAATATAGCATATCTGATAGAATCCTCAGTCTGCTTTGCCACCATGTGAAGGCTTGATTAAAGGGTGCTGTCAGCTCATGTAGAAGTGAATAGGGGTTTTATGCAGTTGAGGATTTTATACAGTTAATCAAGTTATTCATATAAAAGCAGTATACAGTAGCTTTTTTTTTTTTTAAACTGCCATTGATTTTTCCGATGCTCCACCTCTTTTAACTCGTAACGACTACTCAAAACTGAAATAACCTTTTGCATTGAGTGTAAGCCCCATATTTCTAAACTCTGGTGTTCTTTTTTTTCTCTTGCAGACTAGAGATGACTTCTTAGGTCAAGTTGATGTGCCTCTAAACCACTTACCGGTAAGTGACCCTTTTAATAAACCGGCATGGACTCTATATCCGAACTGAAGTTAGGGCCACCACAACATACTTGCACATTATGTCAGACTTGCCTCCTACTGTGCCCTTTAACTGCAATGCAATGCCTGCGCATCCCCTAATCGCTTCATCTCCACTGCTGCCATCTTCTTCTGTCTTCTGGGTCTGGAGTCTTCTACTGACAGCCATTGGTCAGTCATGGATGACATAACTCATGTGCATGCACACAGGAGTTACTACATCCAGACACCGACTCCAACTCCCGCGTAACGCCCTCTAACACTCAGTGTGCAACGTGAAAAAACGTGGGAGGAGGAAGGTAAGAAGCCTGGCTTTATTGCAGAAGAGATATAGTATGTCTCTTCTGAATATTTTGCTAAAGTCACGGTTTAAAGAATAAGTGCACTTTCAGACTTTTTATTGGCATATTCCCCTAACCTAACCGAGCCCCCCCTCCCACTCTTTAGATTCATACCTACTGAGATCCGACACTGCGGCCTCTTGTGTTTGTGGACATCTCACACAACAAGTCCTCTCTCTTCTGGTTGCACCTGCACAGTAGAGCCCCATAAAAGTCTATGGGGCTTGTCTCCTGGTTGGAAGACAGAGGTAGAGGAGCCTCCTTGAAGTCTGCGGGGCTCTACTGTGCTGGCCTGGCCAAGAGGGAGCAAGAGAGACCCCCAAGGCTCTGTGCTGGGACCCCTTCTCTTCTCGATCTACACCTCCTCCCTTGGTCAGTAGATAACCTTGCATGGCTTCCAATACCATCTCTATGCTGATGACACTGGAATATTTCTCTCCTCTCCACACCTCACCCCTTGGTGTCTTTCCGTGTCACTAATTTACTAACTGACATATTAGTCTGGATGTCACAACACTTCTTAAAACTCAACCTTTCATAAATGGAGCTCATGATATTTCCTCCCTCTCATGCACCGTCTCCCAACTTCTCCATTGAGATTGATAACACAACTATCCAGCCCTCCCCCCAATGCCAAGGTACTAGGTTGTGTTCTGAACCTCACCTTTCTTCCACACATCCATTCACTATCGAAATCCTGCCGCCTTCACCTTCGTAAAATCTCCAAAATATGCCCCTTCCTCACCAATGAAACCGCAAAACTACTCATCTACTGACTGGTTATCTCTTGTCTTGATTATTGCAACTCCCTCCTCATTTGCCGACCTTCCACAGGCTATCCCCCTTCAGTCTATCATGAATGCTGCTGCCACACTCATCCACCTAACCAACTGCTCATTGCCTGCAGCTGCCCTCTGCCAATCCCTGCACTGGCTTCCATCCTCCACCCCCCGTATTTTACAGGGGAAATTCAAGACAAAAGGTTCATGTTTCAGGGTACACTTACAATTGACATTTCTGGATGTCCCCCATAAGAGAGCAAATCTTCACTTTTTGAGTTTAGATCTACTTAAAATGTAAACCCTAGCAATGAAATAATTGTATTTGCTCCCTTTTGGTCAGTTAAATATTCCAAGGAAAGAATTTTGGTTTATCTGTTCGATAACTGCAGAAAAATACCCGTTGCTTCTGCCAGAAATCAATTTAGCTCATAACTTCCTGTGACCTCTACTGCACTAAAATCCCTTCAGCGTTTTTAACCTTGCCCAGTGCTCTTCTGTGGACTACAGAACCCCATTGCTATGGAGATGCAGAGCTAGTAGTGGTCTGTAGTCCTAACACACTTACAGTCTTAGGGTGATAATGCTAGTTCCCCAATATAGTAAAGTGAGTGAGTTTTGTCACCGTAGGGCAGGAAGTGTGTTACTGGCAGAATCACCAGGTCAAAATAAAGACTAGAAAAAAAGAATTGGTAACTACATGAGTTTTTCTAAGGACTGGTAAGCTGCAAAATATTACATTGTTGTTCTTGAGTTGAAAATACTCTTAGGGTTTCTTCACACCAATTGCTTTGGTGTGTTTCATAGCAGCAGCTGCTGAAACGCACAGCAATCACGCACTAAACTTCCCCCTTCGTTCTAGGGTGGGAGGGGGCATAGTGGTGCATTGAAGTCAATGGCACCAAGGCCACGTCTGCAGCAGTGCAATCAGACATGTGGCAAAACATTGCTCGTCCACTGCGAAGGCAAAAAAATAGAGCATGCAGCATTGCTTTGCGTTCGCAGTGGAAATGTTTTGCCACGCATTTGATTTCAATGTAAGGGAGGGGGCGGCGCGTGACTGCTGTTACCGTTACGCCCCTCCCGCCAAGAAGGGGGAAGTTTAGTGAGCAAGTGCTGTGCGTTCCAGCAGCTACCACTCTAGAATGCGCCACAATTGGTGTGAACAAGCCCTAAGAGAGGAGCATGCAGTGCAATGCAAGGTCAACGTTTATTGGCCAGCCCCCCTTTCCTGTATAAATTTTGTTCTGATAGTGTTACCGGTAAAGAAAAAAGTCAGATTTATATTTACCTTACTCCCCACCTTTCACCCACAATGCTTATGTAAGAATGACTTCACACTCCTTACATTGAGATCCTGGGAAATACTAAGCAGTCCATATCTCTCAAGAAGATGCAAAGGACCTGAGTAGAGCGAGATTTGGGTTGCTCTAGAACCTTCCCCAAAGGACACCAGGAATCTTCCCCAAAGGACAGTGACATAACGTATATGATATAGGAAAGACGGGGGTTAGTTTAGCGTACAAGTAATGTTTGGTCCTACTATCGGCAGGGGATTTATACAGGGCTGGGAGTCTGGACAGTATGTACAGACCTTGCATTGCACAACCTTTGACAGCTATCAACACATCAGGCAAACCCTTTTCATGTGCTGCTCTATTTTCACTGTTGTTGCCCAATAGTAATGAGTGTTAGTGTTTTTGTTGATGTAACAATAACGTCCTTGGGTGAAAATACCAAGTTGTACACTTCAAGAAGAAGTCTGTAAATAATTGATTTACAACTTCCTACTACGTTACATATAAGTCTCTGAAGGCCCCTGGTTACCTGCTGTATGTCAACAGATTGGTGGCATCATATTTAAAGGACAAGTCCACTTGTAGCAAAAACACTGGTTCACCTTCCCTAGCCCTCTTAAATTGAAACTTAACTTAGGAGTTGATTCTTAAAAATACTTTCAAGTACCTGAACTATTAACAAAAATGTATCGTATTTGTGTATCACTCGTCTGTAGATCCTCAAATCATCTCTGAATTGGTGCCGACACTGTCCTGCGTTTGTAAAGTAGCCACCACTCCAAGCTCACTCCTAAGATGGACTACAATCTCATGTTTACTTTACGAATTTGTGCTGAGATTGTAGTCCATCACGGGCATGAGCTTGGAGCGTTGACTACTTTGCAACACACACAGGGACCATGGGGAACAAAAGTAGCCCCCCCTCCAGCAGGAAGCGCAGTATCGGCACTAATTCAGAGATGATTTGAGCATCTACTGCCAAGTGATACACACATAAGAGACATTGTTATTAATAGTTGAAGTTGAAGTACTTGACTGTATTAAGATTCCACTCCTGAGTTTAGTGTCACTTTAAAGTTACCCTAATGGACTATAATGACCAACCCCAATTTTCAGAAGAACGCAAGAATTTCCAAGTTGCTTCCAATCTCTATTCGATTGGCTGATTCTCCCTTCTTTGCGCTTAGAAAGTATGGCATCATGTGGGTCAGTCATTCTGAAGCTGGTCACATAAACTAGTAGAATTTTGTTTAAACAAATTTGTCTGCGGAGCATTTGATCTTCTAATAGTGGGGGGAAATCGATGATTGTTTTTGACCGTAATGATGAAAACAAAATGGAAGGAGTAGGATGGAAACATTTTATTGAATGAAATTCTAACATTGTGGTTTTTAGTTTGGAGAATTCCATTAATTTTGAAAATTGAATGTTGGAATAAAACAACATTTTCAACGACGTTCGTCTAGTCTTTGATGGCATTATTGAGCATTCAGTTGGGATGACCGTTCACGGGAAATTCTAAAGCTGGACATACACTGTTCTATTATTTTTCGCTGAACAAAAAAATTAGAACAGATTCCTCCATCAACACATACCGAGCGTTTATCAAGGAGTCTCCTGCTGTTTCCCTTGTATTCTGCCAGAATTGAAGATTTTCCAACCAGCTCCTTCGATCAGCTGATTAAGGGATGCCGGCCGGAAGGGTGCCGACAGTTCAGGAACAGGTCATGATTTGCGTAATGTATGGTAAGCTTAACCACGTATGGTCTTCCCCTCAATCCCCGCAGCCGCAATCAGAGTACAGGGCAGAGAGCGGGGCGGCCTTTCCTGAGCTATTAAACGTGTTGTGATATCTTCGGGCAGATCAAGTTCTTTGATAGCGAAGCCTGTAAAGTGATGCATTTCCTATGAAAACAATGCTTACACCTTGTCAAAGTTTAAAACCCTAGAAAGAAAGAATGATGTTAAAAATTAACTTTTTCTGCTCGCAGACTGAAGATCCCACAATGGAGAGACCGTACACATTCAAAGACTTCTTACTCCGACCAAGAAGGTGAGTTCTCCAGTCTGTCTGCTTCTGTCTGTGTGTGGGGGGGGATTGCTTTCATTTTTCTTATGGGGGACATTGTTGGTGGCTTTATGAGATCCTGGGCTTTTCTCTGAACACATTGTAGACTGGAAGGAGCTGAAAAAGAGAAGTTTTTTCACCTAGAAAGGTTTTATCAGTAAACACAGTATAGTGTTGTTTTTTCTGCCTCATATCTTCTGTAGCCGATATATTTACCTATTTGTTACCTTTTGTCTGTAACCAAGAAATCCCGCGTGTTTAGCACCACGCTGCTGTGTGACTGAACCTCAGCAGGCTTATTACAGACTCAGATTTGCTATTTCAAAGTTATTTTTATGAGAATTCATTTTCTTGATTATTAAAAGCAGAACTCCGTGCACAACTGTTCTTACGTTAAAGGAGAACTATGGGGTTAGGGCTTTTCCTCATAGTTCTCCTAAGGGTAACGGGAGGACACAAACTAGAGTCCTCCCGTCACCCAAAGCTCAGTATACAATGCTGTTTAGATCCACCCAGCTGGGTGAGTGACAGCTGGCACTGCCTATCTAGAGGCAGAGCCAGCTGTACCCTCCCCCGTCCGTTCCGCCAGTCAGAGCTGGAGGATCGGACGGGGTGGGGGGAATCCCTGCAGGGAGCAGTGAGTGACCGTCACGGCTCTCTGCAGGCACAGGATCGAGAAGTGAGCGAGCGAAGGTATGTGTTCACTCCCCGATCTATTGAGCCGACGTCTGACAGTTTCATTGTCGCGCGTCGGCTCGAACTATGAGGCTGAGTGATTTTCACTTGCCTCATAGTTCTCCTTTAAGTGCTCATTTTTGTCTAGGTGCTAACATAAAAAAAGTTATCCTCACCCGGACTGCAGAGCCGGCTGTCACAGCGCCCCCTCTAGCCTGTCCAAATTTTTGGCCAAACTATGACTGTAGCCAGCTGCAGTCACTATTCAGGTATTCAGACTGCAGCGTGCACAGTAACCGGCGGATGAGATTTCTCTAGCCATGCTCTTTAGCATGGATGGGCAAGTCAAGTTCTGTTTCTTATGTATAGCCAGCGTTACTAAAAAGGTGAAAATCACAAATCCAAATATAAAATACAGTTATAAAAATATAGAGTAGCAGACATGTATAATGTAAAAGTTACATAACAAATGATTTTCAGGTAAATGTTAAAATAGATAACTAATTAATAAAATATGTATTTAAAGTGATAAAGTCCCAGCATATCCTCTCCTGTTATAACATCAGCATTGTAATAGGAACACATACTAGAGTTGTTTTTGATAATCCAATCAAAGAATCCCTTTTATGTAGTGAGTGCTGCCTTCCGTCTGCCCATCACTTCCATCAACTTCCTGGATTCCCAGTGTGCTTTGTGTCTCTTTCCCTACTGTTTAATGTGATACAATCTCCATTTCTCAAGCTTACATATCCCATCATGCATTGCTTCCAGCAAGCAGTGATAATGTTACATTGTTCAGACATTGAGTTGTAGTTCAGGAGGCAGGCTCTGTGAGATTAGTGACACAAGGAAGTGCCTATTCCCAGGGCTGAGTGAAATGGTGTCAGTGCATTGAAGAAGTACATCCTATGGTCAGCTTCAGAAAGTTTACACATTTCTAGATGGATCTGGTTATTAGAAGAGGGATATAACTTATGGAAATTCAATACAGAATACAGATTTCTCTTTAGTTTTTTACCTTTAAGAAAATAAACTCTCGCATATTGCCATTGTATTGCTTCTGTTTAACAGATCAAGTGCCAGGACCGAGTATTCAGCTAATATATATCAAATCTTCTGTGTTTTTTTATTTCCAGCCATAAGTCTCGGGTGAAGGGTTTCCTGAGACTAAAGATGGCGTACTTGCCAAAGAATGACGGACAGGAGGAAGAAACCAATGAGCAGAGGGAAGAAGCGCAGGTAAGGAAAGCGGGTTCAGTGCAAACTTGTATATTTGCTCTTAATCCAGGAACAAGTGAGGAGAGGACTTACCGGTCCTTAGATGTGGTGGCTGCGGTGGCGTCACTAGGGGGGTGTAGGGGGTGAGGCCGCACCCAGGTGACACCAAAATGACTGACCGTTATTTTGGTGTTACCCCCTTTGAAAAGTCGGGCGCTGGGTCATGGAACAAGAGCCCGACGGTTGCAGGAGAGAGGAGGGGACCCGGTGGCAAACCTTATCCCCTCCTCTCTCTGCCAGCAGGTATCACCAAGATGGCCGTGCATGTGCGATGACGTCATTGCACAAGTAAAGATAGAAGTCACCAGTACTCAGTTGTAATGTGCAAAGAGGATAGCACTGTTATTGATACGTCACATGCGTCAAGGGGCCAGCGCTTCAGGGCCACGCATGACCACTGCACGGCCCTTAAACATTGGCTTTTTGGCGCATGTGACGTAACAATAAAAGTGCTATCCTTTTTGCACATTACAATTGATCCGCTTTGATCCCTCTCCATCTCACCATCAACTCGATCTTCGGCATCTGTCAGCTGCTTCCGTACACTGTCCCCAGCAGACCTGACAGTGACCGCTCGCCGACACACACAGCCGCGGCTGCTACAGCTCTGTCCATTGCCCGGCTCCTGTCCGATTTGATCCCGCTCCATCTCACCATTTGATTCGACCTTCGGCATCTGTCAGCTGCTTCCGTACACTGTCCCCAGCAGACCTGACAGTGACCGCTCGCCGACACACACAGCTGCGGCTGCTACAGCTCTGTCCATTGCCCGCTGTCCATTGCCGACACCACAGCGATCTCCCTGCCTCTCCTCCACACCGCACAGACCCCCAACGGCACTTCGGACGAAGTCCCCTCTTCTTGTCTACACTCTCCTGTGGATGTACCTCTCGGATCAGCACATCGACTACAGTCGGAACCACACCACAAGTGCCCCGATCCTCCATACCGGCCGTCCATCTCCAGATCCTGGCAATCACGCGTAAGTGCCACCACCTTTAGTCTTCATTACAACTTCGTTAGCTAGCCTGTGTTCTCTGCGCCCTTTCTTGGTTTCTTGAACAATTGAGTGCTGGTGACTTCTATCTGTACTCGGATTGTAGCGCGGAACCATCCCTGTCTTCACTTCGAGCACCAACAGACATTAAATTTGGTTCAAGCGCTGTATGGTGTGCAGGTGATTCTCTAAGGCTATTTGGACATCATCGCGCACTCGCGTAGTGAAGAAATGCACATGTGCGATGATGTCGCGGCGTGATGTCACACAGCACCCGCCAAAGGTGACACCTGGCCTCGGGACGCCCCCAGGGTGGCTGCATTCGTTTTTTTTTTCCTTTTCATTCTTTGTTACAGTTTGTCCTTGGATGGCTAAACTCACTCCTCTGTGTCTGTGGAGGCAGCCATGGTTGTCACACAAACTGGGCTTCAAATATGTCCGTCTTTGTTCCTTTCCATTACAGATGATGGGATTAGTAGTTTACAAAAGAAAAATATTATCCTTTTTGCTTAATTTTAACTCACAGGAACTGATAATAATAATACATTTCTGGCAAGATCAACAGGTATTTTCTGTACTTGCTGAAAATGTTCTTAGGCTGAAAAATGAAAACGAATGCAGGCACCACATAGAGCAGCGGTTCTCAAGCTGTGGGTCGCAACCCTGTCGGGGGTCGACTGACGATTTGCCAGGGGTCGCCTAGCGGGAAACACTTTCTCCCAGGAAACTCCCGAAGAGTAAACCTTTCTCTGCTGTTTTTTTTTTTTCTGACATCGGAGCCGCCGGCCGCTGTCAGTCAGGAAAAAAATAAAATTGACAGCTTATGCCAGTGGTTCGCAACCTGTGGGTCGCTGTGTAATTTCTGCTGTGCTAGGTGAGAGTCCTCCTAACCGGCAGAACATCAGTGTCAGTTCTCCCGCCGCGCCGCCAGATGTCGCTGCAGCAGCCGCGTCATCCCTAAATTTTACCGTTGGGGGGTCACCACAACTTGGCAAATTCTACCAAGGGGTCCCGGCCCTAGAAAGGTTGAGAACCACTGACATAGAGGAACATGTAAGCTGCAATATATAAAACTTTAGTTTTTGGGTTTAGATTCACTTTCAAGTTATCTTGTTGTTACCAGAAGGGTACTTAGAAAGCTGCAACAGAACGATGCCAGCAAAATATTATAGATGACTTTCTCCTTGTCCCAAAACCTGGGCAAAGATGAGATGCAATTTCAACACTTATTTCCTGTTCGCACTCGGCGTTGCGAGAACACGCGGCATATTTGCGCACGGTTTTGCCATGTGTGCCGCATGTCAGCCCATTGACAGCCCATTGGCTGCAGTACGCATGACAAACAGGCAAAGTGGCTCATGTGACATTTTCATCTAATAGCGCCCTGCGTTTTTTCCCCGCACATTTGTGCTCATTTGACACGTGTCATGTGCAGGAAAACTCATTTTTTTTAACCGTTAACAAGTCATAGCATCGCAAGCGTGACGTGCGTTTTTTAATTTGTTGCGTACACATTTCCCTGTGTTCTTGCAACGTGAAAGTTTGAAAAGGGACTAACTAGTAGCACTGAGGGCTAAGTTCACCCTCCCACATGCTACACTTGCCCCAGCATTTTAAGTCCCCGTTCACGTCATAGCATATTGGGGACGGGCATCAAAAGTGTACACTTTAATGCGCGTTCACGTAATGCACATCAAATGTGGTGCCAATACTAGTTAATTACACTATAAACATGGCAGAGCAAACACACTATTTTTCCCCCGTGCATTCGCAGAATTTGCTACATGCACTACTATGTGTCTGGCGCGTGTTCAGGAGCCCACTGAAATCAATGGAGGCGCGCACCAAACACCAAACTTAAAAAATGCCGGTAAAAGCCCAAAAAAGTAAAGTATTATAAATTCTTTTAGCTAGTTTTCTTTCTTGAAACTGTGTTTGATTAACGTGCCATGTGACTCTGAACTTGATAGAAAATCTGACTAGTGAGTTCCATAGCGCAGCCCCCTCCCTCCTTAAACATCATAGCCCTCTCCTCCTCTGGCAGTGTCTAATAACTCTGTGCTGGCCCAGCTCCTACACCCCTCACCTCCCTACATAAGCTTTTCTGTAGCTGCCAACAGAGGAGGAAAGGGGAATACGATTGATTGTCACTTGAGACAGCTCTGAGTCTACTGCTTACAGCTCATGCATGATGGTGGCGCCCTGTAGCAGTCTTGGGGTTTTGATTGTCTATGCAAGAGAGGCTTTTACAGGCAAATAACATTTGAAATGCGCATATAATCTTATGGGTAGATTTTTGTCTGGCAACAGGTTCTCTTTAACTTAAGGAGTTTTTTTTGCGTACTGGTGCAGGTTTATTAGGGACCGCCGGAGAGTCAGGATTTTTCAAGCGTCTCTTGTCTTTATCGCTTTATCACCAAGATTAATCAAGTGATGATAATTCCTGCAGCTGCTGAGCATTCCCAGTGCATGCATCTCGCTGAAAGGGAACGGGCGTAAAATAAGCTGTTACTCTCCGTTTAAACACTTGGATGATTATCGCTGAGAAGGAAAACATCATAAAGGAATAACTATTGTTAAGGCTTGTTTGCCATTTCAGAGATGACAATGGGAGGTTTAGGTTCCTGTAATTTATATTTATTCCATTGCTGATAGTGCAAGGGAATGAAAACACTTATTACATGTCAAATTGGAAGTTGGGTAAGCACACAAAGTGGAGTTTTCATTGGAGATGTTTGTAAATTCAGCTCTGAGGATATCCACTTCCATAGTCACAATTTGATGACCCAATTGGATGTCGTTCTATTGTGTACCGGAGACCCCCAAACCCCAGCCACCCGCTGTCTGAGCTGATGAGTGAGATAGCTTTTGTTACACCGTTCTCCAGGCTTCCTAGCTTTTGTTACCCTGTTCTCTAGGCTTCCTACCCCTCACCTCAATGTCTTATATTATATATAAATATCAAAAGTCCTGTATCACTACCGGAATTCCCATAGGCAAAAAATGGGTGCTCGCAGTGACTGCGGATGGCGCCGCATCAAGCAAAGTTTGTAAAGAAATGTCACCAGCACACCAGCATGACAAACACGTCAATTTCAGTGAATCTTCATTTTTTTTTCTTCAGAAGTCACTCAAAGTAGAATCAAGCGCTTTTGGGGCCACCCAGGGTCCCCTTCATTAGGCCTAAAGTGAACCTAGAAGCCTTTCTCTTGTAGCCAGAAAGGAAAAAAAAAAAAAAAAACATCCAATATGTGTCTACTACACAAAACAAAATATATGTATCATTAATCCCTGATTTGCAGGCTGGGATAATAATGCCGGGGGTGCTTGAACAGGAAAAAGCCAACAAGTGCAAATATCAAAGTCCTGTAGCACTACCTTACCGGTATTCCCATAAGCAAAAATGGGTGCTTTGGCTCTACATGTTTAAACAGACCCGATGCTGGCGACGTACACTGTACGTCGTCAGTCACGAAGGGGTTAAGCCTGATGAAGGGGACCCTGTGTGGGCCCGAAAGCGCTTGATTCTACTTTTGAGTGACTTCTGAAAAATAAAAAAATTAAGATTCACTGAAATTGATGTGTTTGTTATGCTGGTGTGCTGGTGACATTTCTTTACAAACTTATATTATATATACCCCTTGGCCAAAAAAAAGTCACAACCTGCTGGATTTGTTATGATCTGGGGTTGCTTCAGTTGGTCAGGTCTAGGATCAGCAACGTTATGTCCCCAAAAACTGAGCTTAGCTGCCTACCTGAATATACTGAATGATCAGGTTTTTTCTTCACTGATGGCACATTGGGCATATTCCAAGATGACAATGTCAGGACTCATTGGGCTCAGATTGTGAAAGAGTGGTTGAGGGAGCATGAGACATCATTGTCACACATGGATTGGCCACCACAGAGTCCAGACCTTAACCCCATTGAGAATCTTTGGGATGTGCTGGAGAAGACTTTACGGCGCAGTAGTCCGACTCTCCCATCATCACTACAAGATCTTGGTGAAATATTAATGCAACTCTGGATGGAAATAAATATTGTGACATTGCATAAGCTTATCGGAACAATGCCATGGTGAATGCGTGCCGTAATCCATGATAAATTTGGTCCAACAGAATATTAGGGTGCTTGGATTTTAGTAAAAAATAATAGGGGCGCAAAGACGTTGATGATGTGTGTAGAAGAGACTGACTGACACTGACACACTGTCTACACACATCATCAAGGTCTTTGCGCTCTTGTTGTATTATTTTTTGTAGTGTATACGGGTATACACCTGTTCTCTCAGAGCCGCATACCATCCCTGGCTCATCTACCCCGTAAATCCTCACACCCTCCACTTCTGAGAGCGCTGAATAAAGTTCTCTAATTTTGGCAGAAGGCTTCTCCCTGGTCAGCCGGTCAGGAGGCCGCGCTAACCAATGAGTGCTCATCATTTGCAACCAAAATTTAAAATACAGAGCGTGGGGTTGTGCTACCCTGTACAGAGTAAGGAAAGTACACTCATATTTAGTGGAAAGTGGAATTACCCTAGAAAGAAATTTTTAACAACATTCTACTTTTTACTTTTCAGAGATTGTATGTACACAATGAGTTTGTAGTTTTATGTAACTGGCACATGATTTGGCTTTTGGGCCTAGAAGTTGCTTTTGTTGGTGTAAAATGTTGACAAATGCTCTTCTTGTTCTTCAGCACGCCTGGGATGTTGTAGATTCCAATGACTCTCCCTCTTCACACCAGCAAGAACTGCCAGTCCCTCCTTTACCCCCGGGATGGGAGGAAAAAGTTGACAATCTTGGGCGTACATACTACGTGAATCACAATAACAGGACCACCCAGTGGCATCGGCCAAGCCTAATGTATGTATGACGAATGTATAGCCCTGTCATCTTTACCAATATAAGTAATTTTTTTAAAAGGGGTTTTTCACCTTTGTCATTTATGTGGAAAATTCCTTTATTTGCTGTGAGGTAATGTTTAACTACACCAGTGCCACTAGTACATTCGGTGAGCAACTGTTACAATTACTAATTAAAGGCTTTCAGAAGTTGGCTGCATCATGACAGGAAAGGACGAGCTGTTCCGAGCGACTGTATCCTCTCATTTCTCAGAGGTTGTTGTCAAACAACTGATCGGTGGAGGGACTAGTGACATTACCTCTACCAATTATTACGAAGCATCGAGGGGAGAGATTCCACCTGATAGCCAAGAATGGAAAATTCTATTAGCACACATACCTCATTCTCAGCGGGACTTATTACCACACACAGAACCTCATGTATAAAGATTGAGATGAAAGTGTCTGAACAGTCCATAGGGAATAATAATTCTTCACCGTTTTTTTAATAATTAACTGTAGAAAAATGACAGTTAATTGACACTCTCAAAGGAAATGTAGTCTGGTTCTGTATATTTTTTAATTTCTTTATTTTGTTCAAGACTAAGATATTGCTTTTTGAAAAATGTATTAAGTCGGTAAATATGAAACGCTACCTTTAAATGTAGTTTGTGTTCTTATACACTGAGTGGCCAGATTATTATGACCACCTGATGTTTGTAGGCTAATTAGCTATAATTAAGCGCTGATGTTGCCAGAGGGCCAGACCATTATAAATAGGGAAGCAGGTTGTTTACCACGACAGTAGAAGTGATTTGTTTCTGAAGATACGGGGAAACAACGCGATTTAACAGTCTTTGAACGTGGGATGATTGTTGGCGCTCGGAGCCATGGAGCGAGTATCAGCAAAATAGCAGAATTAGTTACATGATCAAGAGCAGCTGTTAAAGTGTTTAAAGACCGGACTGTCAGACGAAAATCTGGGTCTGAATGTGCAAATTGTGGCCGTCAGTGACTAGTCAATGTTAGGGCAGAACGGAGAGTGGCAAGACTGGTACAAGACAACAGAACCGCAACAGTGCAGTGTCAGATTCCTCGCATCACCTTTCATCATCTCGTGGAGTCACGAGGCGGCCCAACGAAGTCATCTTGAGGAGTCATCTCGTGGCCCAATGAAGTACTGATGGGGTGGTCACAATAATTTGGCCACTCAGTGTATACAGCCAGCAGATGGAGATCTTGGCCCCTTTGAACATGTTTAGCATCTTCTTCTTGCCTCCGGTTGTAAAATGCTTATTGTTTACAGAGCACAATATCTCAAGCTGACATTAATACACACGAGTGAGTCAAGTCGGGTAGTATCTCTGCCCTTTCTCTGCCTCTTGCTTGGTCTGAGGTTCTAAGTGAGCGATAGAAAGACTGCACTCTTCTGTGCTCTCTTGTAGAAAACGCATAGTCCCCCCCTGCAAGGTTTAAATGCTAATTTTTGTCCAGGTACAAAAATAATAGTTATACTCACCCGATCCTTGGAGCCGGCTTTTTCTTAGACCAATTTTTCCAGTGTCTGCCCCCCCCCCTGCGCTCTATCGGTCTAAGGATTCTGGTGTCATCAGGTTCTATACTCTGTGTATAGATGTTAGGATGCTTGGAGACATACCATCCTTGTAGCGTAGGAGGACAAAGGCTGGAGAAAGTGTTGTGACAGCCAGTCAGCTCGGCAGCTCGAGTGAGGTATAACTTTTTTATTTTTGCACCTCATCAAAGACAAGCACCTAACCCTTGCAGTACGGCGGTAGCCCCACTGCAATGGTTCATTTTTAAAAATGCCCAGAGTTCTTTAATCGTTAAATAAGTAATACAGTAAACTCCCCGTTATCCGGCATCAACGGGGATTGGTAGATTCCGGATAAATGTCATTTGTTTGCTTGAGAGTAACTATTAAAAATAGTAGGGATGCACCGAAATTTCGGCCACCAAAACATATCGTCCGAAAATTGCATTTTTGGCAAAATGCCGAAAGTGCCATTTTTGCCAAAATAGCGGTGCATCCCTGCTTTCTCTCCTCCTCGCTGGACGTTGCTCTGTGTCCCAGTGGGAAGGAGAGAAACTGTCACAGGAGGCCGAGCGGTGCGGTAGGAGAGCGCTGTGAGCGGCCATTTTATATTAATATTGAAATGCAGTAATCAAAGGCAAATTAGGACAAATAGGCACACAATTGTTTCCAGGATAAAACATGCAACAGATCAACAGAACAGGGAGTACACGGGGGATTTTGTTCTGGTTAGATGAGAGTTCTGGTTAGTTGAATACTGCATAACAGAGAGTTTACTGTACATACAAAACCACTATGCAAACCGCTACCTACACAGTTAAAATGCACGTAAGGGAACTAGGGGTCGACCGATATGGATTTTTCAGTACCGATACCAATTATGGGCCACCTTTCAGGCCGATAACCAATATCCGGTAAATGTGTATCAGGTTCTGTTTACATCAAGCTGCACCAGCCCCTGTCAAAATACTCGAACAGGGTGGGCAGCTCATGGCTGCCTTCTTCTGACCGGCTCCTTCAATCAGCTGATCGAGGGATGCCGGCCAGAGAGCAGCACCCACTGCGCAAATTTCGTTCTGTTCCTCAAGAACCAGCTGAAATTTTCACAGTGTTTATTATTGGTAATATCGTTCACTTACCCATAATGTCGACCGATACCCATAATGAAGAAATCTGTGAATATCTGTCCCGATAATCAGTCGACCTCTAATGTGAACTCTCTCATCTGACAAAGGATTTGTAATTCTGTCCAGCCACTTAGGTGATTCATACCACTCTGGCAGATAGTACAGCCAATAGGGTGACATCACTTTATGACATCACGTTACAGTTTAGGAATACAGTGGTGTTGCCTACCCACCCACAGCCTACTAATTGGACAATAAGGTCTCATTCACACACAACGCAAGAGCAAAATTGTATATAAGAGCGTATATACGAGCATATATGCGTGCGCTATTTGCATTCCCAGAATGCATCATTCCTAATAGAAATTTTAATGAACGGTACGCACATACGCGCGTAAACATGCGTATGCGCGTAAAATACGCAGAAATACGCTGCCCGGACACATCTCTGTTCCATTCTGTTTTTGCGCATTTTTACGCTACGCAAATATACGGCTCCATGCGTGGCTGTGTGTATGGAGCCATTTATTTGCATATTGTACAATACACGAGTACGCGCGGCAGTGTGACTGAGGCCTAAAGGAGCAGCAACACACTGATGAGTCATCACCTCTGCTCTCTCCTCCTGTCAGCACATGTGCAAGCAGCGCAGCCTGATAGCTCCTAATGCTGCCCATCACCTCTCCCAGTCTGAGTGCTGCTGTGCAAGAGATGGCATGAAGCTGACAAGATAGAGTTAGGTACTTATACTAGTTTACTAGCTTTAAATACATTTAATTACTTTGAGGAAAAACACACTTGCGTTAAATTATACCTGCCTGGAGTTTATCTTTAATGTGCATATTTTTATAAGATCAGTATTACAACTTATTTCCACCTATTGCAGTTGTCATAAGGCAGCAGTCTGGCGGTCTGCAGATGTGAACAGTAAAAAGTACTAGCTCTCACATAAGTCATTACAATGGGCCGGCACTGTTCTGTCTTGCAGAGCACTTATGTGAATGATAAAGCAGGAAGTGCATTCTATCAAAAACGACTTATTATACCAGTGCATAAGGCTAAAATGCAGAAGAAAAAGCAAAAAATAAGTTAGTCTCATAAAATTATTTTTAAGACAGCACCTTCTCTACATTGCTGCTAGAGCTTTGTCTTTTCAATTGCAGCTCTCCAGCATAGTCCTCCTCAGGCTGGCTTTTGGACTACAGTAGAGTAGACTCCATTCTGCTTAAAGTTTGCTGCAACGTGCCTTCAGGGTCCAGGGTCGCTGGCTTTGCCCACCACTAGCCCTGTCTTTCAAATTACCTCTTTTACTGAGGCCACTGGGCACCTTTATTTTCTATTTCCACCATTTTGTTCCTGGATTGGGGTTAACTTTGGTGGGCAATGAGCACTGATCTGCTTGGTGAAGTGTCTCGCATGCGCTCTTTCCCAACATAGAAAGTAAAGGAAGCCATGTGGAACTACAATCTTTATTCTGTTCTTACTACCTGCCTACAATGACCTTGGTCACTTTCAGGCATTGACCCTAAACTGCTACCAGATGTCCGGGTTTCGTAAGTTCCTGAAGCCTTGCCCATTTCCCTGAGCCTTTAAGTTGCCTTGCCACCACGCGGTCATGACACGTCTGATTCCAGACCTGAAAATGACAATCCCATTGTTCCAGGTGCCCCCAGCTCAAATTCTAATGGTTCCGGTGCTGCTTGCAATGTGCCTACTGACGGTGCCAATGTCTGACGCTTGGAATCATGTTATTCTCTGCTCTTACAGTCTGTTCCATCCTCAGAGTCCTCTTTGGCTCTGTTGGGTGTAGCTGATCCCTCCCCCTCTTGAATGAGATTTTATCCATGATATGCAAACAAATTTGACTCACCCAATTTTTTGCTGACTATGATCGCAGATGTAACAAGCATGCCCCTACGCCCTCTTCTACAGATTTTGTATTTGATTTGCCTGTGGCTTTAATGGCATTTGAGCCATCAACCACATGGCTGATTCCCCTTCAAGTTCCCCCAAGTTTTGCTCCTGTGCTCTCTGGGCTTTAGAAACCACTGTTTATACACAATAGGGACATTCCTCTCTCTACTCTCATCCACAAGGTGGTATTCTCTAGCAGTCACCTTAACCACAAAAAAAAAATTCTGTCCCCCTGTCTGCCTCCAGTTCACCAAAAGGAAATGTTCCTCCATTGGCTGGATGTGGTTTGAGCTGCGGGAGACTTATTTGTCAGCCACTGCTTTGTTCTGGAAGACTGGTTCCCTTTTTGTAATCCCAGATGGATCCCATAAGAGTTCCTCAGCTTCTGAGGAGCATAAGCGGTGAAACAGTATTACCTGGTTATAATTCAAAGGTGGAATTGTGGAGAACCGAAAAGATTATCGATTGAGCTTATTTGCCTTTCTGTAAAGAGAAGGTAATTCATCTGAGAGACAGTTGAGCATTTAGCTTCGAGTAACGGGAAATGACGATTATATAAGTTTATGCACTTTAATTATTAAAATGTATGGTGAGGTATGATGCAGCTTTACTTATACCATTTGTTGTTACTAAGTTGCTCTCCGTGCTTTATAAACGGTTGCTGCTGGACTAGTTTATCAGAGATGAAAGCAGAGCACTTTTATTGTATTGTATATGGTACATAGTCCAAGTTTATACTCTCAAGGATCATGTTCCACCCCTACCTCTCAAGGCACACTCTACCAGATCTGTGAATTATTTTTGTTTTTTTTGGCATCAAGCAACTGTTTCCCAGACTTAAAAGGCTGCCACCTGATTTTCTGTTCACACTTTCTACCAGGTGGGCGTTGTTGCCTCATTTGGTGCCAGCTTCGGTTGTAAGGTCCTTCAGAAGGTTCTCTTTTATTTTCTATGGCCTGCGGTTTATTTGTTGTGTTGCCCATTCCCTCATTTGGATGGCAATTGGACATCCCAACGGTTGAAGATTTAATGTTTCCCTCAATAAACGAGAAAGAAAATCAGATTTTTGTACTCCCTCTAAAATCCTATTCTTGGACTCCATTGATGGATGCTTATTACAGCCCACTATTTTTATGATCATGCTCTCGGTACTGCTTTGCTACACAACTGAGGCATGCAGGTAGTGGGAAGGGTTTTTCTAGGCTGGCCTACAGTTTTTTGTTGGACAGTGTCCAGTCCAGAGCCGTAACTAGCTCCTTTTGCGCCCGAGGCAAGAATAGAAAATGGTGCCCTCCAACAGACGTGTGCGGTATGTGACGTCATGCGCCCCGCCTCCAGGATGGCGGTGCGCATGTGCAGAATGCGCTGGTGGCTAAATCCAAAATAGCATAAAAATTTGCTTTGTTTGGCGAAACTAATGAGAACATTTTTAGTTTCCGTTCATTTCGTCCAAAACAAATTTTTTGTCTTTGCACATGTCTAGTAATATGTGTGCATTAATGTGTGTGTGGTTTTTTTGTATTTTTTTTCATCATTATGTAAAAAAAAAAAAAAATCAAGTACTAACAAAGCACCACAGTGCATGGCGTACACCACAATATGGTACATGTGTATGTTATCTGCGTGTGTGTGGGGAAGGGGAGTTTGTGTTTTATTTTTTTATTTATTTTTTAAAATGATTATTTATTGATTTAAACAAAAAAATTTGTAACTTTTCGGGGGGCTTCAGGGAAATGTAAAGGGGTCTAAACAGACCCCTGGCATTTCCATTTTGAAATGTTGCCCCTGTTGCCAATGGCGCCCTATGCTTGCCATGGCAACAGGGGTGAGGGGGCGCAATGAGGCCGGCCCTGGCTATGCCCCCTCTCAGCTGCACCTGAGGCGAGTGCCTCACTCGCCCCATGGTAGCTACAGCCCTGGTCTAGTCCCCCTGTAGGTGGCAGTTTAACCCAAGAGTTAAGTATTTCCTGTGTCCCTAAGATAACGGTGAGTACAAAAATCCTATGTTTAGGTTGCCTGTATATTATTACAATTGCTCTTTGATGGCTTACACAGCACTGTGTAGGCCAATGTTACAAGCTTGCATTAGGTTTTTTCAGTAGGCATTAACATGTTTTAAAAGTTTGCAGACCCTGCCCCATCTTAAATATTGCAGGTAAAATCACAGAAAAATCCAGTATTTAAAATGCTTACTTGTCATTTATTCACTTGTAAGGTGCCTATGAAGATTGAACGGTCAGATTGTAATGTGTGCGCTCAGGTTTAGGTCATCACACATAGTGTCTGGCATGTATTGCTTTTTGTTTTTGCTCCAAGAACTTGATTGGATTTCTAATATTCTTCTATCTCTTTTGACATTTCCCAGAGATGTTGCATCTGAGTCAGATAACAACATCAGGCACATACAGCAAGAGGCCCATCGAGTGTTCCGATCGAGGAGGCACATCAGTGAAGACCTAGAGCCAGAACATGTGGACGGAGGAGATTTACCCGAGGTGGGTGGAATAATGTTTTTGATTATTGTTGTGTTGGGCCACCAAGAAAAATGTTATCAAAATGTGAACATTCTAGCTTGATGTGAACATGTAGTGGAGTTCAGCTGTAATTTAGCTAGGGTCCCACAGGAATCAAGGTGTCTTTACCTAATGACACGCCGATATACTGAGCAGAAAAACAGGCTGGCAAGATAGGGGCGAGTGCAAGTAGGTACACTTAGGCCGATGTCACACTTCAGATTAGACCACTAGCTATACATGAAACAGCAGGTTGTATGCTGTTGCTTGGGTCAGTGTCTGAAGGTATGGAAGTCAAGCAACTAGAATATTTAGAAGAGGGCTGACAAGGGTAGCCCCATATTTATTTTACGCTTTAATGATACAGGTGTCAGTGCTAATTTCATGGTTATGATCATGGTCATAAATACTTTTAAACCTTCATAATAAAAAGAAAAGCTAGCACAGTCCCTACCTGCCTTCTTTACAGCATGGCATTCTTCTACACACACACACACACTGATTTATTTGTTTTGTGGTGTATTTCCACATATGCATTTGCTTTGTTGCTAGCAAATTCCCTCAGACTTGTGTTCTTCTGGAATTTAGGTCATTTCAGGGACACATTGGTAGGCTTGTCAGTGGTCCTGTTGTTCACCGTGGAGACTGTGTGTTTTGATGCACACACCAATGTATCAAGTACCAAACTGGCATGTATGAAATCCATTTAAAGACTCGGAGTCCTGGCTGATTCCTTGTTTACAGCCTGCAATATCACTTGGAGGTTATTACAGAGCAGGGCAGCGGACCCAGTGGCGCAGAGCTCGCTAATCTGCTCAGGCTCCTGAATACAAAACACCTCTTCTGCTTGTCTGATAACCGGAGGGGTGCGCAGGGGGAGAGGGAGGGGCTGGACCTGCAATGACAATTACCAGGTGACCTTCTTTGCCTAGTTCTGCCATGCAAAGAAAAATCTCACAAACACACAAAGCACAACATGCCAGGTTATCAGAAAGGCTTCCTCATTTCAGTACATGGGCTAGATATTTGCAAGCATTGTGACCGAATTAGGGTCACTGTACCTGTAGTATTCAGGAGCACATGAATAGATTTAAAGTGACACTAAACACAGTTGTTAAATCTTAGAAATGCATTTAAATACCCTGACTATTAACACAAATGTACCTTATTTGTGTATCACTCGGCTGTAGGTCCTCAAAACATCTCTGAATTGGTGCTGACACTGTCCTTCCTTCTGGAGGGGGGCTACTTTTGTTCCCCATGGTCCCTGTGTGTGTTGTAGTAGCCACCTATCCAGGCTCGCTCCCGTGATGGACTAGCATCTCACAATTTAGTTTATTAATTTGTATTGAGATTGTGTTCCATCCCGGGCGCAAGCTTGGAGTGGTGGCTACTTTACAGTTCAGTGCCACTTTAATCAGTCTGCCTATGAGCATCACAAGACAGTCAGGAATGCAAGAACAATTCCATTGTCTTTTCATGTCTTCCCTGCTAGATTACTGCATAAATGTGATTACAGGGCTCTTGGGAAACTGGATAAGCATTGTTGTTTAGTCTTAAGGGAAGGGGATATGTTGCATACACTTGGCCTCTGGTGCCAGCTTATCTGGGAGAATATGATAGCGATCGGTCAATATTTGTTACCTGTACAGTTATATTACCCCTGAGGGCTGTTAGTGTGCAGTCTCTACAGAGCACCCACAGAACCGAGCTCATCACTGGATGCAATACACTTTTATTGTATGTCTAAAAGTATTAGAAAGTAAATGTAAAGCTTTTACAGAATGCTAATTTGCTAGTAGAAACGAGGCCATGGGTGCTTTGTCTTACAGTTATACAGCTTTTTTTGTCCAACCTGAAGATGCCCACTTTAAAATTCAAGTGGAGTATTACCAACCACAATTTTGCAGTATGTTTTCTTTAGGTCTCCTTAGCTGTCCCCTGTTGCTCTGTGTGTTTATTACATTGTAAAATATAGCAACTGCAGATTCATGGGGTTTTCTGAAGTATAGCATCCCCTACACTTTACTACATGTGCATTGCTTTGTAAGAGCTTTGAATCTTCAAGTAGCTTAGGCCTCCTGAATGTAAGTCATTTATATCTACAAGACTGACTGCATATTTTAAAGTGTTGATGGTTGTAGGTACATTCATCTGTGATCCATGCGATGTACTTTCTTAAAAATAGGTGATGCCCTCTTGTGCTTCACTAAGCTGCTGTCAATCATCTTGCCACTTAGACAGGAAAACACAGACACTAACCTATCAAGTTCCCAAAGAGCTAATTTGCATATTATGAGCCCTCCGAGTGCCAGGAAACCAATTAGCATTAGCGCACAATTATGTTTAGAAGTTTTAACTGCTAATCTCATTGCTGGAGACGTGACTTAAGTGGCACAGGTGATGACATCATATTATGTATGTGCCCATGTTTCCTTTCCCATCAGCCAGGCTCTCCAATGGAGCGAGCCAAGGAATGCCATTAAGCAGTGCATTGCTGCGATGCCTTCATAGGGGAGACAGGGCAAGTGGGGAAAGTCTCGTCCTTTGAAGATAAATGTGTCCAAAGGCACAGACTGGCATTCAAGCCGTTTAGTCCCTCAAAATGTTAAAACACATGTAACTGCTGGCTACATATAAATAGGCCAACCAGCAAAAGTAGCTGACCCCTCCGTGTGGGCTGATGTCACTTAAACCATAAAACACCACCGTCATGCTTTTGGGGGCTCTGCAGTTAAAAACACTTGCTGTCTAACAATGACACAGTGAGACACATTATACTGCTCAGTTTAGTATACCAGTATCGTCTTCTTGTGACCTTGGACATGATAGTCAAGTCTCCACGCTCTGCTCTCCAAAAATAGACAGTAAGCTTGACTGGACAGAGAGACGGCACTGGGCAGATTTTGTATATAGTACCAAATAAAAAATAGTATCATACACCAGTCTTGAAGGATGTGCCATTTCTAAATTATATCTGTATAAATAGTACATTTTGGTGTTTTTGTGTGGTTTTTTTTAAAGTCAGAAATGTTCATTAAATATTTTTAAATCCTTAAGCAAGCATAACAGTGTGGTTTTCTGCAGTGTTTTACTTACATTCTGCCTACTAGTATATGTGCAGTGTATGTTGCATTCAAGGCATGCCTCTGGTGAGAACTGTCACAGTTGCCAGTGTGCTTATGTAAGCTCTCAACAGATCTTTCAAGCCTTGAAATGGCTGGTGTTGTAGCTGGTCATGTGTGTAGCATCATGGCAACTGCAGATCTAAATAGAAGCAAACCTAGCACCATCCTCAGTGGATAGGAGGGTTCAGTTCTGCTTTAGGCACCATCTACTATGACAGGTCCTGTCTTCCTTGTCTTTAACTTTACCCAGTTCCCAGAGACCAAGAGACGATTTTCGTACTGCTGCCCCATCCTGCCCCGATTATCGCAAGGTTGGATCAGTGGTAATTAGAAGAAAGCACCTGGACGAATTGCGGTAATTGACCGTGCGCATTTTCGTCTGCGCATGTGCAGTTTAAATCATACAAGTTTTGACATACGGAAGCGCCACCAACCTTGCGAAAATCGTACGATCGACTGAAGTTTTCTAACCTGCTGGTTAGTCAAAGGTCGATCGATTGTACAGTATTTGCGGTTGTACACTGCCCATCATCCTTACGCGATCGCATACGAAAATCGTACGATAATCGTAAGGTGTATGGTAGGGATGTACAGAAATATCGGCCGAAAATTTATGTATGGTGAGGTATGATGCAGCTTTACTTATACCATTTGTTGTTACTAAGTTGCTCTCCGTGCTTTATAAACGGTTGCTGCTGGACTAGTTTATCAGAGATGAAAGCAGAGCACTTTTATTGTATTGTATATGGTACATAGTCCAAGTTTATACTCTCAAGGATCATGTTCCACCCCTACCTCTCAAGGCACACTCTACCAGATCTGTGAATTATTTTTGTTTTTTTTGGCATCAAGCAACTGTTTCCCAGACTTAAAAGGCTGCCACCTGATTTTCTGTTCACACTTTCTACCAGGTGGGCGTTGTTGCCTCATTTGGTGCCAGCTTCGGTTGTAAGGTCCTTCAGAAGGTTCTCTTTTATTTTCTATGGCCTGCGGTTTATTTGTTGTGTTGCCCATTCCCTCATTTGGATGGCAATTGGACATCCCAACGGTTGAAGATTTAATGTTTCCCTCAATAAACGAGAAAGAAAATCAGATTTTTGTACTCCCTCTAAAATCCTATTCTTGGACTCCATTGATGGATGCTTATTACAGCCCACTATTTTTATGATCATGCTCTCGGTACTGCTTTGCTACACAACTGAGGCATGCAGGTAGTGGGAAGGGTTTTTCTAGGCTGGCCTACAGTTTTTTGTTGGACAGTGTCCAGTCCAGAGCCGTAACTAGCTCCTTTTGCGCCCGAGGCAAGAATAGAAAATGGTGCCCTCCAACAGACGTGTGCGGTATGTGACGTCATGCGCCCCGCCTCCAGGATGGCGGTGCGCATGTGCAGAATGCGCTGGTGGCTAAATCCAAAATAGCATAAAAATTTGCTTTGTTTGGCGAAACTAATGAGAACATTTTTAGTTTCCGTTCATTTCGTCCAAAACAAATTTTTTGTCTTTGCACATGTCTAGTAATATGTGTGCATTAATGTGTGTGTGGTTTTTTTGTATTTTTTTTCATCATTATTTAAAAAAAAAAAAAAATCAAGTACTAACAAAGCACCACAGTGCATGGCGTACACCACAATATGGTACATGTGTATGTTATCTGCGTGTGTGTGGGGAAGGGGAGTTTGTGTTTTATTTTTTTATTTATTTTTTAAAATGATTATTTATTGATTTAAACAAAAAAATTTGTAACTTTTCGGGGGGCTTCAGGGAAATGTAAAGGGGTCTAAACAGACCCCTGGCATTTCCATTTTGAAATGTTGCCCCTGTTGCCAATGGCGCCCTATGCTTGCCATGGCAACAG